GTGCACATGTTGCACGAACCGCTTCATTTGAACCAGGCAGAGTAGTGCGGCACTGCTGGATAGCCGCTGGCGCTGATAGACAGGCCACGGCCGTTAATGCAGTGCCATTGGATGTAGCTCTGTTCAAAAGACGCCTTGGTTCATCTGCCTTGGTTCATCTTAGATCTGCATCCGAAAAGAAATAGGTGCGGAACAAGTCAATTCAACTGGAGTCCGGAGTTGATGCTTGGGAGTTCAAAGTCAAACCAGTGATTGCCGCCCAGCTTCTTTTGCCTCTCGCCGCAGCAGTGCACACTCCTCCCCATGTGCGACGGAAACTATGAGGCTCGAAACACATCTGCTTGTGTGGCTCGAGTCATACACCAAAGAGGATCGCTGTCAATGAATGCGACAGCATCACTCAGGGAACTGCTGCTGTTGACTCACTTCAGATATTCAAATCTACTGCATTGGAAACAAAGGCATAATGCTAGCAGTACTTGAAACCAAGTCATTGTATCAGCAAAACCGCATCAGCGGAAGCGGATCGTCGTGGCCAGCCGCTGCTGACCGCTATCCTAAGTCTCTGAGTGCTTCGGCGAGGCACACTGCATGCGCTTGTGCTGCTCAGTGGCTGCGCCAAAGCAAAGTTCTCTGAGACGAATTACTGGCGCATTGCTCCAAAGGACTTACGTTGGCCAGCTCAAAAAGGAATACTGAATACTCACTATTTCCACTAGCGCAGTTGCACCATAGTTGACTCAAAGAGTGCCAGAATAGGAATAGCAAATCAGAGTGTTGGCAAGTCGGACTTCAAACAATGAAATCAAATAGACTAAAAGGCTATCAATGATATGACATCGATACGATGTGGCACCCTTCCAGTCATCTTTGCCTTGTGGCCTAGCGATACTGAGGGATCTCTTCAAACAATAAAGTGACTTTGTGTTGAAAACACCCTGTGCTGGTGCAGTTTTCTGAAAAGAAGGAGCAGGGCCCGCGCACATTGACATTGAAGGAGGTGCTCTCAGGTTTCAACTGTCAACTTCAACGCCTCCGAAGCAGCAACGGCATTCCGACATGAGGGAATTGCCGAAATCCGTGCAATCATGTATCAATATATATATATATATATATATATAGACTTTCGAGCTTACAGCGAAAACACGTCTGCCACCATTCAGCAAAGCAATAAGACAAGCGAATGGGACTAGTGATGTCAATGGTCTTGGCCCAGTGGAGAGAAGTTCCGCGCTTCTCCGTCGCTGGATGCCTCCAAATGGGACACCAAGCGCTCCAGCTCTCCACCATCGCGGCCGGGTACATAGCGGATTGTGAGCTTTCCACGGCCTCACACGGAGTCAAGTCCGGAGCAACATAATCGAAAAATTGGGCTAGCATAGACCGCAGCGCCCTCCAGCCGCGCCAGCGCACGACCAAAACGCGTCGCAGCAGCAATGTCGGGCGGCCCTGCAGCGGCACCAGCACCCAACCTCCAAAGCGCACACAGCCACACATCTGGCAGCAGCGCCCTGCAGCGGCACCCCGCAACGGGACCAGCACAAGCTGGAACACACACGCAGCTCTTCTTATACTTGAAGTGAGAGCCCCAATAGCTCACGCTGCCTCGGAAGTAAAACTGGTGCTTTAAATCCACCCGCACCGAAGGTGCCGAGGCGTTGTGGATGTTTCGCATTAGCCGCAAAGGATGCTGCCGGATTCTAAATCCTAAGCTTTCGCTTGGGGGGTATGGAAGTGCTGTGCTTTGCAATGCTTTTTGAAGATTGATAAAAGTTGATATTAGGCTTCGGACCAAACGTTTGCGATGCCAGATATGCAGACCGGGGCAGCTGCATTATTGACATCGTGAGTGTGTTCGTCCGTGTGTCCTGCCCGACTGAGACAGACAAACTGACAGACCGAGACAAACAGACCGAGACAGACAGACAGAGACTGACAGACCGAGACAGACAGACGCACACACTCCGTGTGGGCGGCTTCGAGCGCGAAGCGCTGTGAATATATACATGCATATATGGCAAGAAAATGGTAAGAAGCCACCCTCTTCGTTTCACAGTCGGAAGAACTCCGTTTCAACCTCTGGAGGCATGTCCTTTGACACCGGCCTTTGCAGAGATTACGCACAGGATCCATGTCCGCCTCATCAGGGCAGCCGTGTGAATGGAGCCATCAAAAGGGCTCCAAGGGCAGTATGCGAAGTGAGAAGCAGGAAGAGAACAAGAAGAGGAGAATTCCTGAAACATCTTGAAACACTTGGTCCTGAAGCCCACCTTGCACTTGACAAACTGCAGCTCGAAACCGGAGCAAAGCTTTCGAAGCTTTTCCTGCGTGGTGAAATTGAAGAAAAAGACACATCACTTCATGCACCATTTGCACCATGTGCTTGCCGCACAACAAATGTCCGCGAGAAAGACACCTCGGATGTCTTGGGATTACCACAAATATGAAGCAAGTGAAACTTTAATGTTTGGTTTCTTTGTTATTAGCCTGCCCTTACTTAATTAAGTAGGCCCCTACCTATATAATTGAGTAAGGAGGTAAGCTACTACCAATAGGACGCTCTTAGCTAGGATCAGGACAGCTCACGTTTCTTCAAGGAAGCGCCCCAAACGCCCCACGCTTGAGGGCGTGGGGAGCTTCCTTGAAGGAGCGCGCACTGATGATTTCGTTCCTAGATGTTTGGGGAAACTTCACTCGAAGCCAAAAGACACGAATGGAGCCCCTTTTCCTCTGTGCTCCCTCTCGTTCCTCGATCTTCGAGGTCTATGGTACAGAGTCTTCCTGGCACCACGGTTTGTACGAGCGCCTTCAAACGAAAGTGTTTTGGCCGAGAGGCCACCGAGCCACGCTGCGCCGCAGAGGCGCCATGCCCTATGTTTCAGCATCGAACAAAACATCATGCCATTAAAATGGCCTGAACAGGCCTGAACTTGATTTGGTTCAGCTTTGAAAGTTTGTGATGTGTGAAAGAATTGGGACCATTTCATCTGATTTTGGACAACTTTCCTCTTCGGAGTACGACCTAGCACTCAACGTATGATCTTCTGCAGTTCCCATGTGTCCTTGAAACTGCACCAAAACACTTTTCATGAGACTGCAACCATTCTGCACTTGTGGAATGCAAAATGGAATGAGGGCATTAGCTCAACTCCGCAAAGCTCCTTGAGTTTCCTTGACACTGGTCATGGTCTCTCTGTTTTCTTGATGGCAAGTGTCTCCAGGTCAAGCCTGGACCAAGGAAGCTCAGCTCAGCTCCACCCGAAGCTATGCAGGAAGCTGAAGCACTTTGCTATCCGAGGTCAGCCTGACAGCGGCAGAATCTCTGAGAAGCTGATCACAACTGAAAAACCTAAGAAAATGGATGGAAGACTGGATGGAGCGATGGCCTCCCCCCCCTCATAGCAATGGCCTCCAACCTACTCCCCCCTCATAGCAATGGCCTCAACCTACTAGCGATGGCCTCCAACCTAAGAAAATGGATGGAAGACTGGATGGATGCTAACATCAAATCCTTCCAAGTGGGATCCTGCTCCCAGAAATCACAGGATGGATGAGTGGATGATAGCGGTTGTTCCCAACCATGCGATCGATCGAATGACAACCCAAACGGATTGGCCCTCGCGACTCGACTCGCTCTTTTTTCATTCTTCGATGCTAAGCTCTTCGACGGGGGGCCGCGGGAAGAGGTGCTGGCGCAGGCGGCGCTGGAGGCTTGGCCACACCAGCCTTAAACCAAGTGACCTGAGGACGACAACAAGATCTCGGGCGAAATAAGCAGCGGTTGAGCTGAGTTGAAAAGCCAAAGAGTTTTACACGTTTTGCCAAGCTTGTGCACTTCCTCGTTGTCGGTTGCGCTGGGCGAGCGACTGACATGCATTTGGCCTCGCCAGGAGGTATGAAGACCTCCACTCGGAAGGTCGTCCTGGACTTCGACATGTCACTTGAAGGCGTCTGTTTAAAGCCAGAGCTGTCTACCAGCTGGCCTACCCAGCTCCTCTCCCAGCTTGCTCCATCCCTCTCTTTTGTTCTTTTCATGAAGCATCCGTTAGCTCTACCCAGAGTCCAATTGCCCATGCCCGCCATGCCTGGGCTTTCCCTGGCGAGAAAGCACATTCGAGTTTATGTCAGGCTGGAAAAGAAGAAAAAGTATACAGACCCCCAAACAGATGGCACTAAAAGTCTATTTGAACCGTGTCTATCAGTCTATCTATTTGGGGGGTCACTGTGCTCTCTTGAATATGTCACTGTCATCATCCAAAAAGGCAAGGCAAGGCAAGACCAAGAAATGGAGAGAGATGGATCCGCAACAGGATGATAATTGGGTGGATGGTTCAAAAGACTGGTTCACAGACCCTCAATCAATCAGTCACACAGCAACATCCTCAGCAGACATCCTCCCTGCATTGTTTGCTGTCATCATGCTTTGCAGGGAGCACACTATGCAGGATCGATGCAGAGCCGAGGTGGGCACGAGAGCGTTTCATGGACGCTTGAAAAATAGTATCAAAAAAACTGTTTTTACCCTTGGGTCTATGAAACCTTCGATGATCTCTTTTGGCAATCTTCTCATGAACACAGTTCAATTTTTTACTCCCATCAAGATGCAAGATGTGAGAGACATCCTTGTCCCACATCAAAGACATCCTGTCAACACTTCCAAAAACTTGGCCCATCGTGCCTTCACCAGCCAGGCCAACTCACGGTTGTTCACATCCCTTGGTCCAACCACATGGCTACATCTGCTGCTGCATTTCGCTTCCAATGGGTGAAGTACCTCACAAGCTTCGCATGTCTCACCGTCGAATCATTCTCATCGCTTGCAACCGGGCCTGAGATAGCAGGCCATCCACAAGGACCTGGAATGCCACCGAGCTCAAGAATCGATTCTTTGAGAGAAATAGATAGAAAGCTGTTGGAAGAGAAGCTGAAAAAAAAGGAATCAAAAGGTTCTTGAAGCTCTCTCGGATGCATTCAGTGTGCCTGGAAGGTCTCTTCTTCTTGGCCAAGTGTAAGCTCGTAGCTGAAGAGCCCGGGTCGCTCCCTCAGAATGTCTCCGCTCCTTTTTCTGCCCTCAACAAAACCTCTCTTCAAAAACCAAAACCTGATCACGTCGTAAAGAGAAACACACCTACTCCACTCGCTTCACCGGCCTGGCCATCATTGTCTCGGGCATCCAATCTGGGCAAGTGCAGATCAGTCTCTTCGGTCAGACAGCCGACTCAACACGATACTTTCGGATTCTCTGCTTCTTGGCTTCAATCAATTTGTCATCCTTCAGGTCTGGTTTTTTTCACCAGAACATAGTAGAACACCTCTCATCTGTCACAATCTGCCCAGCTGCTGTTGAAGGATCCCATGATGGACATTGCGCTGACCCCTCTCGGCTTGATCGGCACCACTTCGTGCCAGTGGGTTCCTGAGTGGAAGGGTGGCCACTGACGTGAGGATCAGATCCAAGTGGTCCGAAGGCTGAAGGCTTCGGCCTTTGTCTTTCAATCCTTAACTACGGGGCCATGGTGAACAGCTGTTTTTTCAGAGGCCGGTGGTGCCAATCACCATGTAGAGACGCATCGAAGCTGGTGGATGAAGCATCGTTTTGTACCTGAACACATCCACCATCCACCGAGCCAATAGAGCCCAGCCGCGGCCCTGCATGACTTCTACCTCAAGTCACAGGAGTTCGGACTCGATGCATCGCTCGGCGGCCAAACGAATATACCTCTCTCTCCTTCCCAAACTCTAGACAGCTCATTCGTTGAAAAAGCACAAAGAAGAAAACACTCGGTGCTCGGGGGAAGTTCCATGGAGTTCCTGAAAACGAGTTGACTCGGTGTGCGCCTGACCACAAGTAATCCACTACAAATACTAGCACTTTGAATGACTGAGTTCGAAGTGAGGCTTCAAGCTGCAAGCTCCAAAAAATCCCAGGGTGCAAGCATAAACTCAGATAGAAACACTTCAAAACAGTGGAGACATTTGACCAGGTCCAATCTTTCAACCAAGCTTGAAGCTGTCAGGATCTTCAGGCGTCCTAGTCACTTCAAAGGATGCCCCGGGCTTCATCGACAGGTGTGGTAGGCCACTCGTCTGCCAGTCCTCGTAGTTCTCCCCGACCTAGGAAAACCATAACGTCGGGACACGAAATACAATCGAAACACCCCATGGATTTAATCCAGAATGTACTTCATCTACTATCTACTGTCTAGATCTGTCTACCGTTGATCATGTCCGAAGTGTGGTTCCAAATGACTCAACCAAGTGCAAAAGTCCGACCATTTCTTCTGTTCATGTCACGTCTTTTCCTTAGTGAATCATCGATGGCATCAAATAGAAAACCTCGCTGAGGAGCCATGTTGATCTCTGGCGTAGCTAAGCGCACCTGCTGGAGCATGGCTTGTTCCTTGGTGCGACTCGCAAGAGAACGCTCAGCACCTTTGGATCCTTTGAACCGTGCCAACCGGTTGGAGAAGCTCTGTTGGAAGCATCTGGGGGACCCGAGGAAAGCCAGAAGCACTCAGCATGCTCCAATGTTGGAACCAGCTGCAGAGCGCTTCTTGTTGTCACCACGAGAGGTCACTACCTGAGCAGTGCTTCTGTCAGCAGAATCAACTGGAAGTCTTCTCCAAATAAGGCCCCGTTTGAGGAAGCCCTGGCAACTTCTCTTTTTCTCCTCTTTAGCTGAATTTTTGGGGACAAGGTTCAGCGCATAATCCCAGTGTCCAAGATGCGTTGTGCCCGAAGGCCAAGGCATGACTGTTGGTGCCACCATAGCCAAAGCCACTAACACCCACCTGAGCAGTGAACCCATCGGACCATCGCCAGGAATTCAAGCCGTTCCTATTGAACCAGGAAGTGTCATATGTAACCCCCGCTACGGAGGTCTTCGGCATGTGCGTTTGGTCTGGACAGCTTCAGAGACTGCTTTTTGAAGGCCAGGGCACACCCTGCTGTCTTTCTTGTGTCAACACAAACAGAGGAACCATCACACCAAGCGGAGAAGAACCCTTTTGCTAAGGCATCAGCATAAGAGCCATCGGATTTCAGGGGCGCCGCTTCTTGCAGCAGGAAGGCAGGCCAACCTCAAATGGACAGCGAGCTCTGCAACGGGAAAATGGATAGTTTGCCAGACATTGACATAGACAACTGCCTTGGCATTGTTGCACAGCTTTGCATCATCGACATGCATATGAGAGACAACGATAGAACATCAATTCTTGTAGGAATTGCCATCACTTGTCACATGCATCGTGTGCTTTCGCTGGCGTACAACCTCTCATCAACATCCTTGCATAAGAGTCACCTTCAATGTCCATGTTTGGATTCTGCACTCTCAGATGCTGGTTCCCGGCAGCTTCAGCATGCATGCAGGCAAGAACACACCTCAAACCACGAGCCATACGACACACACACACACACGAGATGTTGGATTCACCACAAGCCGCGGATCATCGTCTTAGATCCTCGCTTGCAGAACGCCGACATTCCGGCTCCACCCTCCAGATGTCCCAGATTGGGCTTGGAGCAGGAAACCATCACCTGCACGGTGTGGGCGGCATGGGCTTGGCCAGAGGTTGGAAAAGCTGAAATCCGCCACAAAAAACGCTGAGTGCAGCCGAGTTTCAGGATGCTCGCGCTGCGTGAGCACCTCGGAAGGATCGTTGGGCTGGAGTTAGCTAGATGGGCTTCAGGCGAAAATGTCGTTTTCTCCGAAGCTCAAGGGCTACAGCTGTCAATGACTATATCCAGCTGAGATTAAAGAGACTTGTTTCAAGTCTGCTCTTTCTACCAACCTATCTGGAACGCGTTTTCCTGCAAAAGAAAGAACTACAGTACTACAGTATATAGACCCTCCTGTGAGCCGCTCTAGCTGCTCCACAAAAAGTCGGGTGGACCCCAAGCGCACCGCACCTTGCGCACGGCAGAAATCTCAATGGGATCTCCCAAGGAGGTGCCAGTTCCATGGGCTTCGTAGATGTCCAGTTGTGTGGACTGCAAGCGTGCCTGGAGATTGGTCCACCAACCAAAAAGTTGGCAAGATCTTGCCGCAGTCCACTTCGGTGGTCGTTTTTGGGGTGCCCGTCAAGAAGGAAACTCTAAGGAAACCTCAAAGCCCAATGGCTTCCCCAAGTCCTCTGGAAAAGTTGAACTGAAACCTCAAAGCCACTCTCAGGATTTGTCACCCTGATGTTGGAATTCCCCACTTGCAACCTCAGCGGCAAAAAGAAACAGGTCTCCAAAGGATTCAATGCCCGGAGTCCATGTTCAGCGTTGTTTGCTTCAAGGTATGGACCCTCAAGGAAGTTACTACAAGCTTTGATCACGGTTTTGGCGACAATCACATCATGCCACAAATCAGGAGACTCTGACTTCCAAACGCCTATCTATTCATTTTAAGTCAAACAAGAAAACTGAAGTTAGTCACTTGCTTTTCAGATTTCTCTATCCACATCTAGAAAAATGTCTCTCACCCCTCCCATGGCAAATGACACGCATTCGTCACCCGGCCTCCCCAAGAACTGCTCGCAGCAGCCGCTGCTGCGCCGGGCCGTTGGGCGCGGTGAGGCTCGCGGAGCGGCCATCCGAGTTGGTGTGGCCTGGACACGCCGTTGGAGCCCGTCCGGATGGTGAAGTAGAGAAGGTCCAGAAAAAGGTGTACCTAACTATGCCTAACCAGAATTCATGCCTAACTGCCTCACTTATCTTGATTTATACATGGACAGCATGGACATGTTTCTTATGGCCCCTTGTCAGGCCGCTCCATACCTGAAGCTTCAAGTCTTGCAGCAAAGATGCTGGCTGCAAGGGAGCCGCAGGTGGTGTCATCATCCCTGTTGTACCTGGGGCACGATGCAGAAACTCAATATCTTGACAATCTCTGTATGTATCTTGCCTGTAACTCTGCAGTGGATTCTTTCCTTGATAATTTGTCAGTGAACACAACAAATGAGTGAGTGCTCCATAAGGTCGGCATGAAAAATTCCACAGAAGTCAAATCAGGAAACCCGAGTGCAACTCCTTCCATCCTTGACCAGCCCTGCAAAGTCCTCTCTTCACTGTCACGTTGCTTGCCCCGCTCGATCACAGCCGCAGCGCAGCCTTCGCCCCGCCCGTAGCCGTCCGCAGTGGCGTTGAAGCTGAAGCAACGGCCACGGAAGGAAAGCATCGCTCCTGACCATCCAAAGGAATATCAAAGGAAAAGAAACCTCGGGACTACAAACAAAATTGAACAAGCAAATCTAGTAAATCCCAGCACTTGCAAAGTGTAGAATAAGATTTGCCAGCCCACGCGGTTTGCGCCTGCGCAATTCCCAATCCAAGTCCCAGGAGACACGTTCAGACCTGACAGCTGCCACACAAAGGTCGCTTATTCCCCCGCAAAAGGCATGTACTGTATGTGGTTTTCCAAAACTCATGGCTGAGGTGCTGATGCCCGCCACGAGGCATCCATCCAGCGGATCCTGTGGAGAAGTGACCAAACTTAGCAAGCAACTATCGGAAAGCTGTGAGCACACTCTTTTACATGCATACATTCACAAACTAGAAGGACTGGACGGTCTTGCCGTCTATCCCGAACGAAACAGCTAGTCTCTCGACCTCTCCTGCGGCATGAGCAAATGCGTCTTTGCATTATGTAGTGCCACCAAGGAGGCGGAGCAAGCGGTGTTGACAATGAAGCTAGGACCCTTCAAATTGATCACATAGCTGAATCGATTCCTGAGTCGTTTGCCGTAGAGGGGGTTGTTCGATTCTGTGAAGCCAGAGCCTGAAATGCTTGTACACTGGAGGTGTATTAGGGAGATGCTCCAACCACTGGGTTTTGACGTGTCCTCTTCCGGTGGATTTTGGGATCGACCTACGATGTCTTCGCCGTCTACGATGTCTTCGCCAAATCCAAGGGTCGCAATGAATGTCTCCGGCACACCATTAGCTGATGGTGCTCGACACACATCCCGCCAATCCTCAACAGCACCAAGCACTGCCAGCACACTGCCAGCATCTGCCAGCCACACAGCAACAAGAAACCGTCAGGATCGTCATGGGCATCGTTGCCGCCCAGGCGCAGAGCCACTGATTCCGACGAAGACCCCCAAGTGGGCGGAGTCGATCCGCACCTCGCGGAAGCAAAGCGTGTCTCAACGGAACCAAGGGCTGTGTTTCCTTAAAAAAACGCCCAGGAAGGGCTAAATAAAGTACTTGAGGTTGAAACGCTGAAGTAAGACAATCTTTAGAGATTGAAAGAAAGAAAGAGCCAAACAGACAGACCGACGGAGGGACGGACCCACGGACGGACAGAAAGAAAGAAAGAAAGAAACAAACAAACAAAGCAGCAAAACATTGGTTAGACCCTGTTTGGACACACACGCAATAAGATCACCTGCTCTCGCTTGTAGCCGGCATCTGCCAGCGCCATCCAGCCTACCGTCAAAACGAAGGCTAGCAAGCAAGGAGTTAAGACAATCAGCAAACCTAATCCAACCTTCGCTGATCAAGCAGCCAACTTGTGACCAAATTCTATGTTTTGTTGTGTGCATGTATGACTTAGCCTGACTTAGCAGGATCCTCTCGTTCCGGCCTGTTTCCATGAATATCCTCTGCTCGGGATCCATGCCTCTAACCTCCTGGCGGACAATGCAAGCAATCAACCTGGACTCAGAGTGTTGGTGCAGGACTGCCAATCTTCGGCATGGATAAAAACATATCTTGTATCTCCCGAAGACAGACAAAGATCTTGCATTCCCTCTCCTGCTCCATGATGTTGAAGAATGAGGCATCAAAGATCTCGATTCCTTCAATGTGGCCTGGAAGGAACGGCTGAACACATCATGCAACGTGAGGCTGGAAAACTCAACACTGAGATAGGTTCCAATGCCGCGTGGAAAACACATATATACAAACAAATAGATGTGCCAGCAGTCTTCTGCTTCTTGGAGGCCCCTCCTTGATGACGGCAGTAGCTCTTGAAACTACTCATTGCCCGCTGTTGATCCTTCGCCAAGCTGCATGCTCATATTTAAAAAGGAAAAACTTTCCTGCAGAAATCCATCCGATCACTCCCATGGTCCAAATGGCTCCTCATAGTCCACGTATTGATCGATGTCAAACCTGGCCAAACGACAAAATATGATGGCGCTCTTGGCTTGACATTCGGGTCATTCACCTTCAATGAAGTCAAACGAAAGAGTTGAAAAAAAAAAGAAAAAGAAAAGGCAATCGCTTCTAGGTTGGAGGCCATCGCTATTAGGTTGGAGGCCATCGCTATTAGTCCTGTTTTCTACTATAGGCTAGTCCTGAATTGTTGCTTTCCTTCGAAGACACCGAAGCCAAATCCCTTAGGCCTGGTCTTTGGGATCTCAAGGAAGCCGTCACAGCCGCCATGTCGAACAGCGGCCCAAAGCTTCTCGTGCAGGTCCGCCTGGAGGTCGTGGAGGTCGGGAACTACGTCACAAAAGTGACCTGTGGTTGTTGGGGTGTTTGCAACCACCCAACTGCAGTAGTTTCGAGGGGCTACAAATGCTTGACCCATAGATCAAATCTGATGCGTCCAAAGATCAAATCTTGATCGTTAGTTATAATCGCGGGCATGCTTTAAGGATTCAAGAAGGCTTTGCAGCGCAATTCTTTCTAGCTCATCAAGTCCATTGAAACATTGAGAACCGTGTGCCCTTGGCCCTTGACTACAACGGTCAACGGTTCGGCGCACCTCACAAGGATCGCGTGAAGCCATGCCTGAAGCGCTGGGCGACCCATGCTTGTGATGCTCTCAAAAGGAATTGAATAAACGTGATGCTCTCAATCCTCCGCATCTTTCGGCATCTCCTAGCCCACAACCCTCACTGCTGAAGGAATCCATCCTCGGCCGCCTTACCCGTGGCCTTTCACCAAGACCTGCTGACCCTTGGGCGTCTTCGTCACCGGCGTGGTCAAGGCTGACGAGAAGCGGCCCTCAGCCTCACGGGTCTCCAGGTCTTCAGCGAACAAACGAGCGCCGCTTTGCGGTGTAGGAAGGAACTCAGGTGTCGGAAGATTCTTTGCCTAATTTCTTCGTCTCGCGTTAGAGCTTCCTTGGATGCTTTGCAATGTAGTGAGATCCAAGGTTGTCGAGCTGCGGCTTCCGCAGCTCCTTCATTCATCTCCCCTCCTCCTTCAGATCCTCTCTCATGTGTCACATGCGTTGTCAGGTGACACGGTACCGAAGACGGTCGATCCCCTGCAGGGCCTTCTGGAAGACCAACTGCAAAGGCTCCTCCAGGAAGAAGCTCTGCAAGACCAAACCTGAGGACGCCAAAAAAAGAAAAGTTAAAAAAAAAAAAAAAACGGATCTCAATCACATAGTCGCAGAGTACCCGACCATCTTTTCATAGTCATGATATGCCATGATCTAATCAAGGCAGCTGGACAGCTGCGAAAGACCATTACAGCATCTGTTTGCTTTTTGGATCCACTTCTGTATGATTGGGATTGATTCTCTAAATTTATATAAATTAGTCCACTACCAATAGAAACTGGGCCTGTGTATGTTTTAAGTGGAGACCAAGGTCTAACAACCGCAATGTCATCACATCAACCTTTGAGGTGCCGGGATTGCAAGATGCAGGAGGGGCAGGAGCACAACATAGCACAACCCATGAAGAGATTAACGTAGCCGAGACGCACTCTCCTTCTGAGTCGAACTGATAATCGTACCTATGTCGAACCAAGCTCGAACCAGGCATCCAATGGAGGAAAGCAAATCAAAAGGAAAAGGAGGAGAAAGGCCTGTTGACGAAAATAGCTGCTTTCAAAAGAGAAACTTAACAGTCACAAAGTCTTTGCTAGCTGAGGTGCTGCTGGGTGAGGAAAACTACTTGCATGTTGATGCACACATCCATCGTGACCTGCACCAGGCTTGCCATTTAGCTGAAATTAACCTGAATAAAGACATCACAAACTCTGCAGTGTCCCTCTGACAATCATTTGACTCCGATTCACAACATGGCCATACCGGAACCTGGTACCACCTCTTGCACAAGGCATTTCGGTCTGCCTCTGCTTCATCCTTCCGAGGGATGAGTCGCAAAGTTCCACCACCCGGCCCCAAGAAGCGCAAGAGGCACAGGCGCTTACGGCCCATGAGCGCAAGGAAAGCTTCCTGGGCCAAACCAAGATTCCAGCGAATGCGAACCAAACAGGTCGCTTGCCAAACACATATCGTTTCCTTTCTCTCTGGTGGGCTCTCTCCCTATCTCTCTCAGAACCTGAAAGAAAGTCAAACATAGGGGCTCAGTCATTGTCAGCATTTGGTTTGTTGCTAGCGCTGACTCTGATTTTCGTCCTACGATCCGACGAGTCGAGTCTCCGAGACTCTCCCCTGGGCGAATTTTGACGACGGTCGACTATGCGACATCAGGGCCTCTTTGGTGATTGTGATTGGAAGAAAGATGAGGAACACCTTCCTTCACTCGCCTTGTTTCCTGTTGGTGCTTCCCTTGGATGATTTCCAAGATGGGCGGGCGCATTAGGGTCCAAAACTTGTTTGCGGACAAGTGTTGTCCCTTTGCCAAACAATGCGGCTTTCAAATGCAGGACCCTTTCGAAGTGCCATGAGAGCATACCAACACCGCAATATGTCGGCATATCACAAAATTTGCACATATGTGGGCATGACAACGCCGAAACAAGCAAGTACCAGAAAACCTGCTCCGGAACCTGCTCTGGAACCTGCCAGCAAGTCAGCACAACAGCAAGACCTCACTTCAGCATCTCAGCATGACAACGTGTCAGCATGTTAGCATGTCAGCATGACAACATGTTAGCGTGACAGCCTGACAACATGTTGGCGTGACACCACACCAGCATATCAGCCAAAATGAGTCACGTCAGCATGTCTACACCTCCACCTGGCAGCAACACCTCAGTGTGTCAGCAACACAACATGTTAGCAGGTAGGCAAAAAAAACGCATGTAGCCTGGCAGCCTGAGGGCATGATAACATGTCAGCGTGACAACATACAAGCATGATGACATGTCAGCACTACATGCATGACAATGTCAGCACAATGGCATGTAAGTGCTCCGGAACTTGCTCCGCAATTTTCACCGGAACCTGCTCGGGAAGCTCCGGTACCTCCTCCGGAACCTGCTCCAGAACCGGCTCCCGAATTTGCATGAACATCCTCCGGAAACTGTTCCCGAAAATTGCTCTAAAATCTGTCTGCTACGAAGTCTTTACTTTGGCTGAAGACCCCTAAGCTTGGCTGTTGGTGAAAGAAAAGAATTGTTGCCAGTTGCCACCTCGCTGAACCGAGCCACCGCCTCTGCGGCACTCGGCGGCTCCGCAGGCTCCGGCTCCTCCGACGCAGCTCCACCGCTCAGGCGGAGCAGCAGGGTGGTGCCTTCAGCGCAGGACACTGAGTTAGGCCAAACATCCACCATCCAAACCAAACAAACCACCTCCGACCATAGAGCTCATACATCCTCCAACAGATCTGGCCAGATCCGTCCATGAGAGGTCATGCATTCCCTCTACAGCAACCCCTGGGTCACAGCTCGGATGCTAGGAAGGATTACAGTAACCTGTTCTGTCCAGCAACGGCTGGAGAGCCGGAAGCCGAAGGTCTCCAACAAGCCCAATCGCGTGAGGCGTAAATGCTCGGCCACCTCAGACATTTGCAGAATCAAAACACTCTTAAGACTTGCATGACACTACAAGTATCACCCCTTGTGGGTGCGAAAGCATGGCACAAGCAAACTCTATCTGTGCAAACCTGGTGTCCATTGTCTTCCTTGGTTTCCGGGCACTCTGCTCTTGTGCCAACAAACTCGACGCTGCAGCGGACTCCAGTGACTGGCAGGTGCGGGGCATTTTCACATGTAAGGCGTCCCTTCTAGGAGTGCATCGTGTACCACTGCTGTGGAGCTGGGATAGGTTGCGTACACTTATCCCCAAACTTCAGCCTCCAACATCGCCACCCGATCACGCGAAGAGCCGCGGCCCAAATAGCCAAGCTCAAACCTGAAACAGTCCACTGAGAAGGTCGAGAAAAAAGAGTTGCGGAAAGGTCGAAGTGTTCTTGCATGAATTCCGCTAGGGTGGATTGGGCCGGCCAGAAGATTCACTACATGGGCAAGGCTTGCAAGGGTTCTTCCTCCGGGAACAAAAAAATGTATGATAAAAATATGCTTCTCTGATTACCATTGCAACCCTCCGTGATGTATATAATCCTTGTTGTCAGAATCTCCAAGTTCATTTGTTGCCAGGTCGCTCAGTTGGCAAACGGACAAAGTAGTCGTTGAGCTGCTTCACAGTGGCCAGGATTCCCGCACGAGTTCGCGCAGGGAGCATCATGTGCGTGGTGACCTAGGCGTTTCGAGATGGCCAAAAGAGGCACGGATCAATTTGGACACCAGTGGACCCAGTTTACCTTGGGATCACCATTTGAAGTGGGGTCCCATATTGGAAGTCATAGATTGACAAAGGTTTCAGGAACGATCTCTACAATCGCCACCTAGTTGTCATTGCTACGATCGCACCAGCTACGATCGCACCAGCTACGATCGCCAACTCAGAACCCCCACATAGCCCTTCTCCAGCAGCAAGTCTGGCATTTGTTTTGCCAATCCCTGACCATTGTGCAGGTCGCAGGTTGAATCGTTGAACTCAGAGAATGGTTAATGCCTTGCGGCTTATTTTGTCAAGTACTGCAAAGGCGATAACCAGCAAAACCTGACTTGGCTTCTGGGCATTGCCTCTCTTACAACAAGCACAAGGCAAACATACATAAGCTCAGTTTGATCACTCCACTTCAATCGGTCCTCGGCTGAGGAAGTTGGCCCGAGCACGAGGTCGTAGCCTTGCAGCTCATCTGCGGCTAAGAGCCTCAGTGGCATGTGGAGGACCGAAGGCATCGACACGAAGGATCTTGAGAAAGAGCTGATGGACGTGAAGCTGTCGATGTTTGCTATGGCTGTGAATTCACTGGTCAAGGTCTGGCCCCACTGCCCTGACCATGAACCTTTTTTGGACATGACATCCATGTCGCATCTGCGCCTGCAAGCTGTAGATGGCACTTGTAAAAAAGTAGCCACTGAAGCTTAGCACCTTGACTGCAGGCAGATCAATTTGACAGACAAATCTACCTACAACACACCTGTCCTGCACATTGGAACCACCCAACGCAAAAGCGAGCTGCCAGTGTCAGGTGGCTTGTTGTTTCTTTGGAACTTTGGAAGTGACCTCTGTTGCCAAGTGACCAGCATTCCCAGCTCGCCTCCATTTTCAACCAGCTGTGCCTGCAGTCTGCCGCTACTCTGGGAATGGTCCACACTGCCGTACTGCCGCTACTCGGGTCGCTCGCCTGGGTTCCATTGAAGTCAAAGGCCTCCTCTTCGCCAATTGGGGTCAGCTTCTCCTGGCAACCCGTCAGGTGACCTGTGGTGAGGCAAGAAGGATGCCAAGTCTGCCTCCCATCTTCGTAAGCAAGACAAGCTGCAAGCTCTGGAGGCAGAGGTCGCACGATAGTTGCAGCTTGTGCAGTGTATTGACAGGCATAGTAGCACAGTACATAGCAGCACGTTCAATCCAGCTCACAACCGAACAGGGTTTCCAAAAAACACTGGACTTCATGTTTTCCTATCTTCAGAGCCCATTCAGCACTCCTTGGCGGTCAGCAGCACAAGGGTTCCAAGAGGAGTCCCAGCATCAACATCCATCGGAACCGCCGAGCAAATCAATTGACCCAAGGCCCAAAGTTGGAGGCATAAAGTCGATAAAGCCTTGTCGACGAATGTCGATCAAGTAAAGTCTGTCTGTTGGTCGGTGCCGATGCCAAATGGTCGATGTCGAAAGGGACAATCAGTCACGATCTTGTTACAGAAATTGTGGCATTGCATGATTGGTTTCTGGGAAGGGGATGATATTCACATATGTCTGCCTATGTTTCCCCTCATCTTCCTACTGCCTGCAGCCTGGAGCCAACACAGAAAAAATTTGTCTGAACGCAGAGGGAACAAGTGTTCCTGTTTCAGCAAGCAACAAATCTCAATCACACTCATATCGACTCATATCGGCACATATCGGCTCATATGCCACCGCAGGCTGCACAGCAGGCTGCTCTCAACTGCCACTTTCAAGTCTCAGACCGCAAGTCCCTGCCTCATCGCCAAGCTCTGGCTTGCGTCGGTGTCTTTTCCTGGGCAAGAGCCGAAGATCAGGAATCCTGCGCATTCAAAACGTCGTCACGTTGCGATCAGGACTCGTTTCAAACCTTCCCCCTCATGGCACCCTCCGTTGAGGCGGGTTCAGCATCCAATCCAAAACCACTATTAGGACGTTGTTAGGTGGAGGCCATCGCAAGTAGGTTGGAGGCCTAACAAGAAGCTACTAGGTGCAGGCCATCGCTATTAGGTTGGATGCCACTACTACTAGCAACAAGAAGCTACTAGTAACAAGGGAATCCTTTCAGATCCTTTCAGATCGTGAAACCACTCCGGCGGGTCGTGCGGACTTGGGGCGACACAGACTTGGCGCGGCGCACCGGCGAGATCGTGCCATCAGCCTGGAAGAAGCTCTTCTGAGACCTTCTCTGGAGGCCTTTCTGATCCAAAAGGCTTGAAGGCTTTGGTCCCAGGATCGTGTAGGGCCAAGTTCCGGAAATCGAAAACTAAGCTTGACAATGGCGATCCTGCCTTTGGTTAACCAGTTCTTAAAGTCTTGCAAACGACTTCTATATAGCTTGACGCGGCCGGAGAGTGTGACGATTCGGCAACTGTTGCAAGCGAAAGCACGTAGCAGGATCCAGGTTTGGTCTCCAAACGACTCTCCTCAAAAGCGCAAATATCTTTGTGATAGCTTTGGAACGGTTCCAGCAGCCTGAGGCCTGTCTTGGGCAACTTTCCTGGCGAACACGCAAAGCATTGCGAAGCAAGCAGGCGAACAGGCAGAAATTGGAAAGCGGGTCTATAATTAGTTTAAATAGATTCGATTAGAGACAAACACTGGAGGGATGACAACAACGTCCTATAGATTCGCATGTTCCACCGGAAGATGTGTATGGGACTTCAAGTAGAAACGCATCAGAAATAATGTAAAAGCACCTATTGTTTCCACAATTGACAAAAGGGGCTACCCGCCAAAGCAACTCAACTAATATGCAATAGAGATGCTATGGGAATTTGGCTTTGACTTGGCAAGCGTCATCAGCTTTAGGGCGTTTTTCCAATGCTACCTGTAGCGTCACATCCTCTTCGATGTTGAAACAGTCTTGAAGCTTGAATCCATTTGAATGTCTTTATCCTCCTCTGATTCTTTCTTCCAAACTGTTCAACAAAGGCTCTGCTTCCCTCATCAAGCCCCCACGAAGCGGCCAGAGAATGGCAGACTGGGCGCCTTTCTATTCGTGCGCCCGCATAGAGAGATCGAGTTTTCAACCTTCCAGAACAGAACCATTGGAAAAATCTTTACTCGGGCTGTAGCCAAATGGTAGGAAAAATGTTGGCTATATATTCATACGATTTAAATATGTGTTTTGACATGCTTTCACCATGTGTTTTTGCTCATGAAATGTCAACGGCATCTGTCAATGACAGACACAACTTGACTCTCGCTGCTGCAGCAATAGTGCTAGAGATATATAGATTAAAAGCATTGGCAAACACGTTAAAAAGGACTGCATCGTATGGCTTACAACAGCTTCTGCGTGCCCATCGAATTCTGCCCTGCCTACCCAGCGAGCAAGTTACATCTGGCCGGCATTGAATGCGTTTTATTGTGCTGCAAAACAACAACAACAAAAATTACAGTAAAGTGCGTCTGACCTCCTGAAACAAACAATGGAAACAGGAAGATGACGTGGGTCTAGTACTGAAGATACCTCTTACTCTAAACGCTCAATGCGAGATTACTAGCCGAGACAGAACAGGTTGCAAGAGTGTGAGTTGAGCTGGTTCAGCCAATGACACGTGGCAGAAAGTGCCAACTCAATGTCAAATGAACTTGGGCGGCTTCTATACACCAAAATTGTAACTTCAATGTCAACTTGGCTGGCTGCGCACAAGTGCTAGTTATGGAGTCTTAAGGCAAATGAAACAGTTCCAACTGACAAGTCAAATATATGAATATATATATATATATATAGTCACATGAGTCACATGATACAAGAATATATGTGTGTCACGTTCTTCGCACATCCATTTTGGGGTTGAGTGTTGCCCCCTTTGTCTGCGAGCCATCACCCCTCTTTAGCTACCATGGCTGCGTCAGACGAAGACGCTCCTCAGGAGGCCCCACGACCCGTCGTCGGCAAACAGGAGCTGTGGAAACAACGAAAGGAACCAGAAGGCGGCGCCCTCCTCGTTGTCTAACCGACACAGGAGTTTGTAGCCCTCCTCGTTCCAACCATCCAAGATGCCCGGCAAGAGCTCCTGGATCTCATCGAAAAAGGTGAACTTCTGCCACCCTTCCTCAAGGAGCCGGCCTATGCACCCAGGCTCCATCGGGATGCTAGGTCCCAGACTCTTCGAGCCCCAGCTCCGAGATCAGACACATCTCGTCGATCACTCGCTAACGACTAGGATATGTCCAACTATGTGTCTATTTCATCGGTTTAATCTGCCCTGGCATCGCCTTTGTGCTTGGATCCCTGATCCCTCCAAGGCCCTTCCCACACGGAGGCCTGCTTCGGACGCCTGGCCGTGGAGTCCCAACAAATGATGGCCTTCGACTCCCGACATCTTCCATTGCCATTGCATGAATAATATAGAAACAGATGGCTTTTATCAAGGAGTTTCTTATTAGATAAAAAGCAATAATAAATAATAAGAGATCATGAATAAGTTAAATGGTGTTATTCACTTAAATTGAAAGTCTCCTTTGGATCCCCATAGATCTCCAGATCTTATGAGGGGACAGCTTTTCTGAGATGGGCAGATGGGCTTACTTACCCAAGCGCCTGTGGTGTCCGCGGTGTGGTGGGCGTCTGGGGAGACGCTGTAGCTGGCGTCTCCGTCGGCAAAGAGCTTTGCAAATCACTGCCTGCAAAGAAGAACCGGAGCAAGGTCAGCAACACTTGGATGCAAAGCTGGCAGCTACCAAAGCCATGAAGAGCCTTCCGGTTGATTCATCCCCTTGGAAGGGATTCAGAAGTATTATACTGCAAAACAGGAACCATTTCACTCAAACGACTGGCCTTCAGCCTCCGGGGAGGAGTCCAAAGGTGTCTCCTCCGGATCTGCACGGTGGGCAGCTAGCCTGGCGTGATGTTCTACAAGCTGAGAGTTAACAGCAAGCATCAAAACAAAAGAAGAAGCTTGCGCGACAAATGGGGACAGGGCGAACCCCCGGAACCGCATCTTGCAAATGGATGCAAATGGATCCCTAAATTGGCCAACACGCACATCGAACGCCTCACCCCTGCAACAAATTCTAGAGAACCCGTGGCGCACCTGCTGCGAAGCAGCGGTGAGAAGTTCCAGGCTTCACCTGCAGTGATGCAGCTGCCCCAGGTCATGCGAACTGGGCATTCCAAACAGGAATTGGAAAAAGAAGCACACACAACCAACCTGCCAGCAAAGGTTCTTGGAACTGTGTGACAGAAAGATGTGCAATATGA